AGTTCGTAAGTAGAGGCAAGTTCGTAAGTAGAGGCAAATTTTGGGGGCTGGAGCTGGTCATATCTCGAAAATTTCGTAAGTAGGGGCGTTCGTAACTAGAGGCACCACTGTACTAATTATTATACAAAAAGTTAAGTTAATCAAGTTAGTTCAGAATCACACTGTATAATAAAAGATTTGGAAGGGGACATTTAGGCCATCAAGTCCAACCTCCTGATCAGTGTAAGAATTCAAATGAACAAATGGTTGTCTAGCCTCTGCTTGAACACAGCAACGAAAGGGAGCCCTCTGCATTTCTAGATAATTGGTTCCTCTCTCTGTTAGGAAGTTTTTTCTAACTTTCATTCGAAAATACCTTCCTATAATTTAAATCCATTAAATCTTCAGAGAGAATAATCTTAATCTTCTGTGTGATATATTTTTAGGTATTTGAAGAGTGCTCTCATATTCCACCCTCAGTTTTCCTTTCTCAAGGCTCAACATACTCAGCTCCTTCAATCTCATCTCACAGGATTTATTTTTTAATCCTTTGTTTATTTTCATTACTGTACCAACTTCTATGAATCATCAAAGCTTAATGCTCAGAATAGGACACAGAACTCAATCTGGGGTCTGACCAATGTATAACAGAATCAAACAATTACTTGGTATAGTGGTGTAGACTTTTGTGGCTCACGTCAATGAAGCAGTGATGAATTTTTAGTCCGAATGGCCATGGTCTAGTTGGTTTAGTGACATGGACCAACCAGGGGGCAGCTTGTCAAGTTCAAATACAAGAGCCTAGTCAGCCCATTTCAGTTGCCTGTGACTGCTGAGAGGTACACCACAAAGCAGCTCACTCTGCCTCTGAAGATGCCAGTCACAGCTCCTGGCAAAATATTAGACCAAAATAAAACTAGACCACAGCCTTTCATCCTGAAAGCTCATCACTGCTTCAATTACTTTGGTGATCTGGGAATTATATTTTTATTGATGAAGTCTAGAATTGCACCTGCTTCTTTTTTTTGCAGCCACATCACTTGGTTGGTTCACTTTGTAATCAATTATTGTTCCAATATATTTTTCACAAGTACTAACAAGCTAGGTATTCTCTAAGCTATATGTGCAACCAATTTGTTTCTAAGTGAAGAGTTTTGCACTATTCTGTTCCTTCAACCATTTCTCTAACACTCAAAGATGAATTTTATTTCTGTCTTCTATGTTATTAGCAGAGAATCAGTTTGATGTAGTGATAAATAGCACCAGGCTAACAACCACTATGAGTTCTAGACCTGCCTTAAGCATAAAGCCAGTTGGGTGACTTTGGGCTGGTCACTCTTTTTCAGCAGTAGGAAGAAGGCAATGGCAAATCACTTTCAAACATTTTCAGATGTTGCCCAAAGAATTGTAGGGACTTCTCTAGGCAGTCACCAGAAGTCAAGATTGACTCGAAGCTGCACATATGTTATCAACTATCCCACTTAATTTTGTATCATCTGCAAATTTCTTATGCATTCCCTCCAGTTCTTCATCCGAGTCATTAAAGAAATGTTGAAGGGGGAGGGGAGGACCTAGAGCTACTCTTGTGGCATCCCACTTGATACAAAACTTGATGAGGAACCATTGTTCAGCAATCTTTGAGTAAGATTTTCAAGCCAGGAATAATTGTTAGGCTATCCGCCATATACTTAACTAGCTTGCTAATCTGCATATCACAGAGTACTTTGTTGTCCCTCCTAACATATGGTTTAAAGTCTTCCTAACCAGGTTCACGGTGCTTTGGCTGAACAAATTTACTGGTCCTTATAAGCTATGACCCATCTTGTGCCAGCAGCCCATCATCTAGATAACTCAATCCATGGCCCCAGAAATCAAATTGCAGTTGTTGACACAATTTGCATAGCCAATCAGATTTTTTTTAGTTAAACAAATTAATATTCAATGCAATAGCAGGAAGGATAGTTGTCTGGATTCTGGCCTTATCCATTGGTCAAATAATAAAAATGCAAATAACTGCAGGTAAACTTAGGTGCCAAGCAGTAGTCTCCCACACCTTCTCCTGGACTTGGTCTCTCATAGAGGAGTGGAAGGAAATACCCCAGAGTCTCAATCCTGTCAAATAGTTCAAAAACATACTATGGCAATGATATCAAAAACTAGTGAGAGGGTCAGGAGAACTGGCAGGCTCACTTTCAATTTTCTGGTAGAGGTCATACACCAAGACAATCAAAGCAATTTTACTAACAAAAAGTCTAACTGAAACGGATCCAGAAACTTGGTATCATTCTGAAGCCCTTCTTAATAACCTCTGCAAGAAATGGAACAGATCTTCCACATCAAGTAGTGGTAGTATTCTCCCATAAAGGTCTTATTACTTATGGGGGAGTACATCCAAACTGACTTTTGTCTCTGCTAGCTATAAATTGCATTAGCAAACATTTGCAATGTTGTTATTGTTGTTGTTACTAGATTTTTATCCCTTTTTTACATATAACTCAAGGTGGTGAGCATATCTAATACTCCTGCCTCCTATTTTCCCCCCAACAACTCTGTGAGATGGGTTGGGCTGAGAGAGAATGACTGGCCCAAAGTCACCTAGATGGCTTTCATGCCTAAAGGAGGCCTAGAACTCAGTCTCATGATTCCTAGGCCAGCACCTTAACCACTGCACCAAACTGGCTCTCATAATTTTCTCATAATCTCTCTAATTTTCTGTTCTATTTGATCTGACATTGAACCGAATATCTTATAGAGAATTATAATATTAGACCAATATCTTACGTAAAAATTACATTGAAAAAAAAGAAGCAAGTTTTACCGAAGACATGCGGCAAATGCTCTCCTAGCATTTCTGTACACAAAGTGGATTGGAAACCCTTTGAATGTATGACCATCTGGTACAGCTCTCCTGATAATATCTTGAAATTCTTCATTTCCTGAAGAAATTCCTGTCGTGCGTTCAAGTTCATAGGCTGCCAAAGCTGGTGACAAGAAGTAAGATAGCTGATCGTCCCAGACTGTTGCAAGACCAAGATCCTGTATGTTAACAAAATAAAAAATATATAAATGGACTTGATAGTTTCCATTAATTATAAGAGATGGAGTAACAACTAATTTTGCCGGTTTGACTTTAGAACAAACAGGTTACACAAAAAAAACTTACAATTTAGTCAGATAATTTAGTCCCCTATCCTCATTCACAATATTTTTAGTTTACAGATCTGAATTACCAAACAGAATGTTCTAATGATATCTATAGGGAAAATAGGTAAAGGGAAAGTTACCACTTCTTATTCTACACTACTAAGTTTTGTCACTTGAAATCAGCCATTGTAAGGAAATTTACAATTTTGCCATTGTAAGGAAATAAATTCTGAGATTTATAAGTTTGGTTTTCTTAAAAACACTTGGACAAGAGTCAGAAGATGAATGTTTAAGAAAGGGTTCAGCAGTTTTTTTTCTGATAGGAGGCACTATCACATGATTTCATGGGTGTAAAAAATATAAAAAATTAAATTACGTAGATGGTCAAATTCTCTTGAGGTTCCATATAAAAAAACAAAGATTTTATGTTATTTGGTTATCTCGTGAGGTTTTAACTGGAAATGTGTAGGACAAAATGGATCTGGGTCACCTTACAAACACCATGAACCATTTTTTATTCTGACAATATACTTCCAATATATTTCTAGAAATATACTGAGAGAGAAGAAAAAAAAGAATGTGCTAGAAACAAGCCACATCATTTAGCACATAACTACTTTGACCATTTTAATTTTTTTAATGTAAGAAAAAAATGAAAATGATATTAAAGAATTCAAAATCTAAACATATGTCCTGATCTGCCACCTAGTGGTGTCAAGAATGCCATGGAACCTCTGGGCTCTAAGCCTCCCAGCTTCTTTAGTCACTTTGCACAATAAAGAATAATATAAAATCTTCAGGCTTTATAATTCTATCTGGGGATTATGTACAAATGCTATCTTTTCATCTTTTCCATTTTATTATTTATTTTAAGATACCGAGAAAAAAATCCAGGGTTATGTGAAAATCCTGCATTAATACAGATTAAAAAGTTAATAACTACATAAAACAGTACTCACTACTGTAAATAAACTTAAGGATGTCATGACCAAAAGGAATTCAGCATATGGTCTTTTTTTCTTTTTACAAAGATAGTGTGTTGTTCAGGCTCAAGTTCCTGTGGTTGACAGGAACTAGTTGTTGACAGGCTCAAGTTCCTGTGGTTGACTATTTTAATATAATAGAATTTCATTACATTTTAATACATGCTGAAGAAATGTTTATTCACTATTCTAAAGGATATGTAACACAGTTATACAGTATTTACCTGCAGCATTTGGATAGTATATTCTCAAATGTTTTATCTCCTTCTGTCCATGTGAAAAGTTAATTTAGCTTTCACTCTTACTCATTCTGTAAATAATCATGGCTCTTTTAAATAACCTACTGAGCAACATGAATTAGCTGGAGCTGCATTCATTTATTGCCAGATGGTCTTTGAATATAAGTAGTCCTCACTTACAGACTGCCTCACTCAGCAACTGTTCAAAGTTACGACAGTGCTGAAAAAATAACTTTATGACCAATGCCAGCATTTCCAACCTTCGCAGCACCCCTCAGTTATGTTATTGTCATTATAATCACTTTGCATTGCCCTGTGCCCAACCCCTGGTTTTTTTCTTTTTGTCCTCCCTTGCAGAGTGGAGAGATTGGAGAGAAAGGGATTACAGGAGAGTTAGTAGGCACACAATGGGGAATACACATCAAAAGCAATGTGCTGGCACTGGCAGCTGTGAGTGTGCTGTGCAAACAGCCCAGTGCATTCCCCATTGTGTGTCTGTTTACTCTGTTGTAATCTCTTCCTCTCAATCTCTCCGCTCTGCACAGGGGGAAAATATGCCAGGCTGTTTGCGTGGCATGCTAATGGCTGTTGCTGTTGGTGCCAATGCATTGCTTCTGATGTGCATTCCCCATTGTGTGCCTACTAACTCTCCTGTAAACCCTTCCTTTCCAATGAATGTAAATACAAACATTAATTCCTCTCTTGTTAATTATCCCAATGAGCATTCCAAAGGGCAGGGGAGTGGTTAGAAAGCAAACAAAAACTGAAGGTGGGAAACTGATTAGTCTTGTCAGTTCTGAGCTGGCTATCCCATCGCTGTGGCGGGGGGGGGGGGGTGCATTCCAAAGGGCAAGGCGGTGAGGAAAAGGAAAGTACAGTTGCAGTCACATGATTTCCCACTTAGCGACTACTTTGCTTAGTGATGGACTTGCCAGTCACAACTGTGGTTGCTAAATGAAGACTACCTGTACTTCTATTCAGAATTGACTAGAATATAGATATACATTCTTATTTTTAAAAAGAGCAATGAACTATTTTTCAGATTTATTTAAACAACTCAAGGATATACAATTCATTAATTAGTTTCAATCCTACTTGACTTTGGCTGTTCTAAATATATATTCATATTCTTCTAAACATTGTGATGTATGAAAAAGATTTGAGTCTGAAAACAAAGTTACTGAGCCTGATAGGTTATATTCTAGGAGTATACTGACCCAGTACTGTTGTAGAAGAACTAAGGACAGAAGTTGAAATAGGAGTAATTTAAAAACCAGAAGAAGCATTTAAGATACCTAGATACAGCATTTAAAAAATATGTAAGAAATATGAGCCAAATTTCAAAGAAGCATATGCTTAAGTCTTAAGTAAATTTATAAAAAGAGGCATTATGGATACATCAAATGTTTACCAGAAAGTTGCTCTGAATCTATTAAAAAATATTATCAGTTTAAAACTAGCATTTACTTGATGAGAAGCTTTGGACTATACAAATTGCTTTGGTGACTAAGGTGCCCAACCAATGTCCAAGGACCCTGTTTTTGTTTACAAGGGACTATGTAACTTACAGGTAAATTAGCTTTATCTGTAACTTGAACCTATTTTGAAAAGTAAACATGTACATGTTTCATAGCACCCACCAAATAATGATACCTACCTTTCTATGTTCTACCACTAACATTCTAAGTTGCAATTCTAGTTCATTGCTTGCTGCTGCAGCATCAGTTGTGGAATTAGAGAGAGGAGGAAAAGACGGAAGTGCAGTTGTGGCCCCTGGAGAACACACAGATTTGATTGCTTCTCCACTCATTGGTTTCCATTTGGATTCATCATGCAAATCAAAGATACAAATTTCTACAGCATCAGAAGGCTGGCAGTTTGCCAAAAACTTCTGATGATTGAAGACACATCCTATTGTTCTGTAAGGATATAGTGCCTTGGGTTGCTTAACAATTGGAGGATCATCGGGTTTGACAGGATTGTGGATGTACCTGAAGAACAACAGACATGCCTTAATATATTAAAAGTTAAATTAAATGTTAACGTAATCTACGTGGTCTAGCTTTTTAGTCCACATTATGTTGGCACAGAGTTGCTGATTGCTCAACTATGATTAACAATACATCCATGGAGAAATGAATATGCAAACTCAAGAGCAAAACCTGAATCTATGTCCTTCACCAGGAAAATTATGTATGTCACCCTCACCCTTGTAATTTAGTCATGTTTCATTCTTATGCCACCAGTTTTCCACCACAAAACAGCTGAGAAAGAATGATACAGATTTACTATGTATCATCTATCTCTTATATGGAGGTGGTTTTCCATATAAGGCTGTTTGTTAAATTGGGGGCACAATTGAATAATATTCTAGGTTGCTTTGCCTTATACTTTCTTGACCAGATTATAGAACAGTAATGGATTAAGTGTTGCCAGCCTTGCATCTGTAACATTACTACCAATGAACTGTGCTCTCACAGCTAGGAAAACAGTGCATGGGAAAACCTAGGATTTTTTTAACAATAATCATAAGGTTGGGAAGGATCATTTGGGCCACTGAATCCAAGTTGCTCCTCAATATAAGAGTTCACTTTAAAGCACCCCTGCCAAATGGTTACTTAGCCTCTGCTTGAACATATCCATTCATCTGGATAATTAGTTCCACTGTCAAATTACCATACTATTAGGACTTTTTTCCCTAACATTCAGTTCAAATCTGGTTGATCTTATTTGGACTCAGAATCGGGGATGGGCCTGATTAGTACTTGGATGGTGGAACTCCAGGGAATACCAGAGCTGTAGGCTAGACTAGGAAATAAAAATAAAAATAAAAATCACAGTAGAAGAAAATTACATGAGCATGACAGTGAAATTACAGAGGTCAAACTTCACCTTCTTTACTTCCCTGTAACTTAAATCCAATATCTTCTATCTTGCAGTGTAGGAAAGATAGAGAAGCAATTCTAACTTTCTCCTGTTTGATATCCTTCCAGATATTTGAAGAGTGCTACAGGTAGTCTTTGACCTATGACCATTTGGTCAGCAACCATTCCAAGTTATGACAGCGCTGAACGAATGGTGGTTATGACTGGTCCTCTGAGTACCAGCCATCCCAGCCAGTTCCTAAGCCAGTCACATTTCATAACAGTTAGCCACATCTTGACTACTACAATGTGCTCTACGTGAAGCTCTACTTGAAAACTGTCTGCAAGTTGTATTTGGTACAAAATGCAGCAGGTAGACTGATAACCTGTACCAGGTTAAATTATGATGCCTGTACTAAAGATCTGAACTTGTTGCCAATTGTTTACCAGGCACAATTCAAGGTGGTACTGATCTTAGCTTAAGGCCAGACCATCTGAAGGTCTGTGTTTCTTGTGAACATATTTAATTGTAAATATACCTCACTGTAAAAAGTTCTGCTATCTGGTACATGGAGGAGGGCCTTCTCTGGCACTGCACCCAGGCTATTGAATACCTTCCCTTGGATGCTACATTTGGCCCCTACTTTCTCAGCATTTAGGAAATCTTTAAAGATATATGTCTTCCTCTTCTGTTAGATTATTTTAGCATTGATTTTAGATCTGTACTTTTTCAAACCTTGTGTATCGTTTTAGTTATTTTTTACATTTTGTTAGCTGCTTTGAGTTCTGGGCAAAGTCAAACACACACACAAGCAACCGAATCAGAATTTTGGCATCTATATACATTATAGAGGAATTAACTTAATTGGGGCTATGTATTTATTCCCATGGATTGTACATGTTGCTAAGTTTTGAGTGTAGAATAGTAATTACTTTGCATGGTATTTGCCATTTTAATGAGGTAATGTATTCAGTCTGGCAGAAACATTTTTGTGAAATAATAATTTCATATAATGAATGGTTAAAACAAAACTAAATGCTTTCCAATACAGCAAATACATATTTGGTTTCATTGGGAGACTTCAACAAATTGGTTAATAACATGATTGTAGATACATATTTACTGTATTGTGATGTTTGAATTGTCATAATTTGCTTTCACTACTTTTCTTACCTATGCCCTGTTAAACTCTCCCAGAAAGTAGTTACTCCATCAATCCCGTAAGTCATCACCCACGTGTGAGGAGTGCCTTTAGCTTTTGTTCCTACACAAACAAAAGCTTCCATCCCAAATCCCAACAGAAGACTACACAAAAGGTTAGCATGATCTTCACAGTCACCCTGAAGAGGAGATATATTAAATGCAGAACACAAATTCATTAGAATTAAAAAAAAAAATCTTAACATCTAATTAAGATGTAAGTGGCATATTATAGCTAGTATAGCAACTATCCAGGAATTATTTGGGTTCTTGGGTTATAAAAATATTATTATTATCAGTATAGCTATACAGGAATATGTAAAATGTTCTCTTTTTATGGACCTGAACCATTTCCTATTCTGGTAGGCTGATTTCTGTAAAACTAGTAGACAACCCCTGAAATGTCCAGATTGGTGTGGTCCAGAGGAAGAATGAAAGGCTGCAAAATAATCTGTCTCTTGAACAGATTTACATTTACACATTTACCATTACTCTTGATTCATAGATTACCAAAGGTTTTATTTCCATCCAAATGTCCCCTGAAGCATCCCATTCTGAAATAATTCAGCATATTATGGAAGTAAATTTTCTGATCTGCTTCCAGAATACCTTGAACTACTTCTACTTTGAGGAATTTATTTCTGAAATTTACTTCCCCTTCCAGAATGGCACAGTCTGGAGGAGGTTCACCATGATCCAGAGGAAAAATCAAAGGTTCTAGAGTTCTTCAGGAGGTTCTGTTCCCAAACAGTTTAATTTTGCACATCCCTAGTTAACACAAATATTACTGAGCATATGCTGTTAGAAAATGCAAGATTAAAAAACCCAGAACTTGTTACTCAGAAGCAAATACTTTATTGTTTTATATAGGAAACATATGCTAGGATTTGTTCTTATTTAGCAATACTAAGAAAAGGCACACCTTAAACTCTGCTTTCCACAATGTTGCTTAACTATAGTTTTCTTTATTTTTATGTAAAAACATTTAAAATAGTGGGGACTGCATTATTTCATCAGTACAGAGACATGATAAAGCACAGGGCTTCTGGATGAAAGCCATCATGTTCAAAATTGCTTGAACTATAAGTTAATAATATAGAAGAATTAAGTGTTAAGTTATACCTTGTTTCTACAGAGAAAAGCCAGAAGAGAACACCATTGTTCTTGTTTACTATTTCCTCCCCCAATGATAGGGGCCTTTTCATAACCAATCACACTGACAAATCTTGCAGCTTGCCGAGGTGTGTCCAGAAGTCGACCTGCTCGAAGTGGCCTAGTATATGAACATACTGGCCTGTTTATCCCATTTTCATCCTGAATATAAAATGTATATGAAAAATGGCAGCTAAATCAAATAAACCTCAGCATGCTTCAAAAATTATTGGGAAGAATGAGGCTGAAAAATAGTTGCCACTGCTTTAAGGAACCCACTCAACAAAATCCAACTCTTTTAAAGCAGTGGCATTTCTTTCTCAGGCAAGCTTTAAAGATATACCACAATGAGAACTATTTACCTTCCGCAAGGTTTTAAGTTCATTTGCAAAAGAAAGACCCAACTGATTGCCCAGTGCCTCAATATCATTTTGAAATTACTTCTAAAAAAAGATCTTTTTTTTTTTAAATCAGTTTAAAAGTAATGCAGGAGATGCCACCTCTCACACAGTGTCAAGTCACATTCAAAGATTTTCTACAGAAATATCCCCCATTTTGCATTGTTTTATTATGCATTCAACCCATCTTTCATCAAAAGATTATAGAAGTGCTGAATATAAAGAAATGGGCAGCAAGTAGACATGACTGCAGACATTTGAAAAGCCCTGCACTTCCTTGGGAAAGGCTGCTTGCCTAATGAAATGTAAGATAAAGGCTAAGTCTCCTTTGAATGGAGCTCTCCTGGTGATTTCATGAAAAGCAGTATGCAGTTTTCTTGGCATCTGCAAAGAAGTTGTTGGCTACTGCTTTTTTCCAGGATGTTTCTCAAACTACTTTTATTTGCTTAGCTTCCAAATCCAGACAAAGTCGGATAGGAGTTGCAACCTCTTATGATCTTAATTAATTTTAACCCTTTTTAAAAAGCACCTAGATGTGGCTTCTCACCTTTCTCTCTCTGTCCAGTTGTTTTCTTCCTGCCTTACCTCCATCCAATTCCATTTCTGGGACAGCCCCAGGATAACTATCTCTTTTCCTTACACCAGTGTTTTTCAACCTTGACCATTTAAAGATGTGTGGACTTCAACTCCCAGAATTCTCCAGCCAGCAATTCTGGGAGTTGAAGTCCACACATCTTAAAATGGCTAAGGTTGAGAAACACTACCTTACACAATTGCCATTCCTTTTTTTACCTTTTTTCGGCTCTTTCTGCTGGAAACACGAGGGGGTATTTTGTGTTTTTGTATAAGAGAACAATTGACCTATGTGGATAGGAAATCAATATTTAGAAATACAGCACCTTATTTTAGTTCCATTATTTTGGTTTTCTTGTGGCGAGGAAATTACATACAAATGTGATACATGCACACATTTATTGGAGGAGAAAGCTTCAGGACTGGTTTCAGCTGAAGTTGGTAACCCAAAATTGACAAAGCAGGGAATCTAGGCATTGCACAGGATGTTAGTATGCGTTTATAATGGTTTTTCTGCCTAGTCTTTCTTTGCAGGGGGGAATTTAGAAGCATTATGCTTTCATGTAATTACAGTTGCTAGCTCAAGCTTTTCCAATGAGCTCCACTGTATGCAGCCTTTGAATCTTGGCCTCTCCAGTCCTAGACCATCACTCTACTCATTATATCTCACTGCTTCTGATAACCAGGAATGAAATTTCATTTTATTCAATTTTAAAATTATCTATATTTATATTCATCCATCTACATTTATAGATTATATCAGAGAATTGTAGATACAGTAGACAGATTGTAGAATTACATATCTGGTGATTTTTTGTTTTGTTTGCAATTATCTAACAAATTGGAAAAATTATACAACCACCCAGTATTTAATTCTAATGCAACTTTATTGTCCATTTTTCCAACTCTTATACAATGTGCAACATAGGAATGAATTCAACTGTTGTTGAAAGCTACTAGATTCATAATAGCAAAATACTGAAAAGGTAAAGTACATCCTTCTTTGGATCAATGGTTTTAAAAGTGTGGGAAATAGCATTGGTTAAAAAAACTAAGCCAAGAGTTTATTTTCTAGAATCAATATGCATATTAAATGAAAAGTATAATGTAATTTTATATATATTTACTCAGAAATAATTCAGTACTATTCTATCTAGTAAGGCTACCCTGGAATTAGAATAGCTATGATTATTCTTTCCTTCTACAATTTGTATTTTTTTTCTCACAATTTGTATTTTTAAACAAATGATGATGTTATAAGGGCAATATTATTCAACTGCACTCTATCACAGAGGGAACAGGGATCCACTGGAGACCCCTTGCAACATAAAGACAGATGATGATTTTAGCCAATTCTCCCTATAGTCCTGAGTACCATCTCCCCATACTACTGATAATCCTTTAATCTCCAGATCACGTTTTGAAAGAGCAACAAGCAATCATCAAAAAATTATTACTGGATTCTCTTATACTAATCTAAATATAACCTAGTGATTATTTTTAAGAAACAGGTATGCTGATATGAAAATCTGGAATCAAGGCATATAAAACGTTCACAATTAAAGTCCTAGATCCTAAGTAGCTCTTCCTTCCAATGCACTGTTTAATAAATAATGGAGTCTATTTCATAATAATAATAATAATAATAATAATAATAATAATAATAATCAGACTGCTTCCAAATTTTCATGTGTAAATCATGTAAATTAAATATGAGGAGCTGGTAGTATATCTGGTGTTTTGCAAGAATTTTTTAGGCCTGATGATGAAAGTGCTTGCTTATTCATAAAACAGCTGTCATACTGGGGGGTTGTGCATCATCAAAACTCATTTACCAGAAAGCAAACCAGTGAGGATGTTTCCTGCTACCGCTAATAATCACTCTAGGAGGTTTGCTAGCCTCCCAAGCTACCTTTGTATTTTTATAGGAAGATGATCATAAAATACCCTGCTGAAGCTGGTCACCATTTTTATATTCTAAGAATGCCTATAGGAACATCTAAGTTCAGTTTTCCATTTAAAATATTTTTTTAAAAAACTTACCCCCCTCAAATGTCAGATGGGGAAGGACTTTGGACAGGCATTACAAATGTTGTCTAGGAACACTGAAGGCCCCAAGTATAAATGAATATCTAACAAGAAAAAGTAATGACATTTAACTGGTCAACTTGCCCAACTTGGCACTGGGCAGATGATTTGGGACTGAAACCATGCTATGCAAAAATTCAAACAATTAACAGCCATACTGATGGGGACCTTTAGGAATTGAAGCTCCAGCACACCTGAAAGTCACAGGGTAATATAATCCATAGAAATAAATCTAAATAGCAGCAGTGTCATATTTCAAGTTTTACACTGTACGAAGTATGGAGATTGCTTTCAGCAACCATTAGGTAAACACCAGAATTCAGCAACCATTAGGTAAACACCAGCTTAGCCCTGGAAGGGAGATGGGAATAAGAAAGAAACTCATCTTGGTTCTCTTTGGTATAAGAGGGGGGACCAAATCTCTGTCAGGCTTTCAAGATTTTGTTATTATATCCTATAAATAAATAGAGCAGAATTCCCAAGAATTCCCAAACAGGTGTCTGTTTCCTAACTTGAAAGGCTAACATATACTGAATTTGTACAGAATTGTGCAGAGTAAATTTTTTCATACAGCCATTTATCCACAAATTATAACAATAAAATCCAGAATATGGAATTGCCAAACCTGTGCAAATATTTTCACTAGTCTTGAACTATGTGAAGTCCTGATCTGTAAGTATTCTCTCCACCACTGCTTTGCATACACAAGAAACAAGCGCTCTTTTTCTGCTGTTTTCTGCCGTTCTAAAGACATCTGTAATTGAAAAAACAACAACCATGTACTATACTATATGCTTCAGAATTTTTTTCTGAATTCAGAAAGTTTCATTATAAATCATAAAGCATAATGCACTGCTAGTGTAAACTCAACTACTGGCTAATGTAAACTTTCTGCCACTCACAAAGAACAGTAAATCTTTATATAATTCAGGGTATAAATAACATGTCCTAGTGTTCTAGTGTAATTAAACTCTAATCTTAAATAAGGATGTGTTTGCTTAATAAAGTGTAAGATATGTTATTACTGCATAGTGCATTTATGGCTGAGTAACACATTTCAAGAATGGTCACCACTTGATCCAGACTTGTTGTGCCATAATGAAGCAAGAATTCTTGCCAGTAGTACATTTTAAAAAATATCGATCAATTTCCCCATGAAACTCCATGCTTTTGCCCTGCCTTCATTTACTACAAGTTTACACGAAGAACTATCAGATGCATATAGAAATAGAAATAGCTTTATTCTTTAGGTCAGATTAGACAGTAACCCTGGAGGCGTTTCATCCATAGTACAGTAGTACCAACTCCTACATAAGCTGGCTGTTTGCCAGGGAAAATGTGAACTAGAATGTGTATGTGATAATATCTTGAAATAAATGAGAGTTGCTCATTCCATGTTTCATATTCATTATAACATAACATTAATCTTGATTATTCAGGAGGGAGACTAGAATGTTCCAACAAAACTTCATGCTTGATAAAACACAATTTTTAACCTGTGAAATAAATATTAAAATTTGCTTAATATTAAAATCAGTCTGAATTGTACTAATATCACTGTTAATTAGAACATACCTGAGTATTAATTATTTCCTGAGAAAGTGTCTTGTTAAGTTTTGGATAGATTTCAAGTTTGATGTTAAGTACTCCAACAGAAACCTTTGATTCTGTTCCTGTGGACCAAATGTTACAGAGTTAAGAAAACAAATAGACCATTTACTAGATCAAGCATTCAAAGAACACACAACGTCCATATACATATTTACTATGTTTATAGTTATTAAACATGTTTTAAATTGCTTCCTCTGAGCCTGAGAAATAGTTTTTTTCCCAAAGCAGTAATTTAAATTTACAAAAGATCAGTCTGTACTATTAGCAACTAGCAAAACAGAGGAAAGAAGAGAAAAATATAACTCAGATTGAAGAATGAAGGGAAGATCAACAGAGAAACTAGACTTTCTGAAGTTGTACCCTGAGATGCCATTCTGTTCCCTCCTACATGTGTAAATGTTATTGTTGAAATTTAGAAAAAGTACTTTGGGGAACTTTCTTCAATGAAATGCATTTTCATCACTATTAATTATACCTTCTTTTTAAAATTCTCCCTGACATCATTTTCCCCAATATTAAAAGAGATTTTAAACTTACCTACTCCAAGAAGTTCAACTGCCACATTTGTTATCCTGTTTTCTGCGCTAAGGACAGACCGCCACTCTAAGAAATAGGATGCTACTAATGTGGTCTCACCAGAGGTGTCTGTTTTGATCAAGACAATGTGCACTGGATCACATATGGACAGCATAGTGGTAGCATCAACCATTTTGCTCCCTTCACCTGTCAACATCACATCCAACTATGGTTAACTAAAAACTCCAGTTAAAAGCACTTCCCATTCATATTGCCATTTGTTATCTATTTAAGTTCGCTCAAAGATCATAAAGAATATTCAACATATATATGACATATTACATTACATGAAAGTTTTCATCATGACTTTTCAGCAACTATTTATAACAAGTTATATAGGAAAAACAGCTGGGATTGGAAGAAGGGAAGGAAAGATAGGTTTTGATTGAAAAGCAGGTTAGTAGGGAAAGAGTTAAGGACCTTATTCCCATTTGCTTTTCTTATACCAAAAATCTCTGCGTTAAAAACAAAATATACCAAATTCACAATAGTGAAGTAGCTGGTCAGCTTGCTGTTTCATTGCAATGTAATCCACAATGCTGAAACAGCATTTCTCAGCAAGCTACCAAGTTTTTAAAACTGTGGTGAGATACCATTTACATTAGAAACTCTTCCAAAAAGCCTGAAACAACACATTTGAATTCAGATTACATTATATGTGAAAGCAAGTAATGAACTTCTGTTTATACAACAGATTTGTTTTTTAGCTCTATTTATTAAAATGTTTGAAACTTTATGTAAAAAAAACCAAACAAAATGAAAAATGAAAATGCCATCTTACACAGGTCTACTCAGAAATAAATCCCACTGATTTCTCTGAGATTTATTCCAGGTTATGCAAGTTTCTGAGACAACAATAATCTCTTCAGGTATATGCTTAGGGATGCATGGATTTGGAGTTTCATTTAATATTAGCATTACAGGTAGTCCTTGTTTAGTGACTGCCTCATTTAGTGCCCATTTGCTGTTATGACAGTGATGAAAAAGTAACTTTACAACCAATCCTCGCATTTATGACCTTCGCAGGTCTGTAAAGCAAAGGAAAGCTGAAGTAAGATCATAAGCACAGTCATGGTTTCACTTAGTGACTGATTCACTTAATGACCAAGTCGCCAGTCCTAATTGTGGTTGCTAAACGAGGACTATCTGTATAAGATGTTTTGAGCAAGAATCTAAAAAATAATCCCTTTATTTAAGACAAAAAAGCCTTATACACTATTAAACTAACTGCTAAATATATAAATATAAATCAGACATCTTTCTGATATTATCTTTATTATTTCCTGTTTCATATACATATATGAAGTGGGAAATACAAAAAAAAAAGGTAAACTTTCAAATCTGTCAAATAACAAGAGTCATTTGTTCAAATTATGTGAACTAAGCATTGCCTGATCTTTCATTTCCAAGTCCAGAGCTACAGTTTTATGAAGTAACTTATGTTCAGAAAAATGTGGTTTGTTTTTATTAGAGGACTCTGCATAATTTTAAGACATCACCATGACATTCTGCTTGGGAGGCTAATTATATATCTACATTAATGAAAATAAATCCATCATAATGTTTAAATAGAATTTTTCAATACAGTAAAAGTATACAAATAAAAAAAAAGATAGAAAAAGATAAAAAGAAAAGGAATGAAAAGAAAGAAAAAAAAATAGTTATGCCTTCCGCCCTTCTTTCTATTCAGTAACTATCAGCTTATTCTTTTCCCCATCCTCTTTGGCCCTTTTGAATCCCCAAATCCAGAAATCATCAGTTTGATCTTCTTTCAACAAAAAGTCCATATAAGGTTTCCATATTTCAAAAAAATCTTTGTAATTTTTTCTGTAATGTTTAAATTCTGATTAATGCACAAATTTACTTACCTAAAGTATCCTTATATATTTCAAGTAAAAATCCATCATTGAAATCTGGTTCACAGGCACATGGAACAGGTTTAGAGCGGAAGCGCTGGTTCCGAAAATGTAAGCAAAGAGTAAAGGTAGAACAAGTTTGACCAGGCAAAGGTTCAGGTTCCTGAAGATGTTCTAGGAAAGCTTTTCCACCCAAAACCTGAAGGTAAAGATATCTTCGTGTTGGATCAATATTTGCTGTAAAGAATAGGAAAATTGTTACAAACCGTTGGTAAAAATGTACATAGCATTAATGATTTTTTTAAAAAAAATGACATATAGGATCGTCAAAAGAGAATTAAAAGACTGCTTTCAAAATAAGTATGTGCTTTACTTTATTCACCTAATATTTATTCCATATGTTTAAGTTATTTTCCTATCAAACCCACAATAATGTTTGCTTTTAACCAAATTGCCATTTATTTTAAAAGGTATTACAGAATTGTATTATTTAAGATGTACTTAAGATCTAATAATCATATTATATAAAATTTTCATTGGGTATACATATCATATCTGCCTATCAGGAGAAACATTAAGATTACAGATAGTCCTCGCTTAACAATGGTAATTGGGACCAGATTTTCTGTCGCTAAGCGACGTGTTCATAAAGTACAACATCATGTGACCATGCCACTTAGCAATGGGAGTTCTCAGTTACTGTCATTAAGCGAATCTTGCAACATCATTAAGTGAGACATCCCTTTGTCGCCATTTGTGACCTCCTGCCAGCTTCCCCATTGACTTTTGCTTGTTGGAAGCCGGCAGTGAAGGTCGCAAATGGCTATCACGTGACTGTGGGGATGTTGCAACTGTCGTAAGTATGAGGACCAGTCATAAGTACTGCTCGTTCAGCACTATCATAAGTTCAAATGGTTGCTGAATGAGTCGTCATTAAGCAAGGGCCGGTTGTATCTACAAAAGGATACCCAAACACAGAAGGGAAAGAAAATGAGAGAAGGGTAAACAAATCACAGAATGAAAACAATCTTATCACTAAGGTTTTGTCAAGGTAATATGTAACATACTTTTTTTCAATACTGCTGGTTGTCTGTCAACAAAGTGTGTAGATGGTTTTGGAGTGGAAATTCTTTCCCTGTCATTTATATCCTACAGATAAAATTAAGATAAAATTAAGGTCATTTTCAAATCAGATTGTCTTACAATTCTGTAAATCTTTATTTTTATTCTTATTTTATTCTATCAAAATATCCAGCCAAAGGATATAGCTTATAATTGAACATTATTAAATTACCTTTTGCTGGTTATTCCAAAACCCATAAGCAAATACATGCTTTGGCATGTATTTTTTAAAATGTTAATCAAATAAGATTAACATTGGATTTTAGTATGCCCAGGCATTTTGGGTTCTCTTATTTGTCAATCTGAAAACTAGTATATTTGTCAATAATTATAATAGACTGAGTTCTCATCCATTTTGGACACAAGAGGCTATAACTGAGGGGGAAACAGGATGCTGATTTATTCTCTATTGTTTGGTGAGAGCACACTAAGTGGTAATGGTAGTAGAACTTTCTTGCTTGTATTAAATTCAGGGATGGAGAAATTTGTTATGCTTATTCTCAGTCTTTAAGCACTTAATGAGGCCAAATTTGTCATCTCCTTTCTGCCCCTTTTTTGAGCCTCCTGCAGAGTGGATTTTCAAGGAGACAAATGAGATGGCATAGCAGGCAGATGCATCTTTATACCAAAGGTAGCAATGTACGCCAGGAATGGCTTTCTCTCTTGTCCTAACACCCTGTGGCTGGTGGATTTCCAGATCAAGCTGCAGTGTTATTCCATCTCACTAAAGAAACAGAATCAGAGTTTATACTGCTTTAAATAGTATTATATCACAAAGAAGCCTGTCACAAATCTCTCTGTTCACGGAGAGCAGTCATTTTATTATGGTTGTTAATATTGCTCCAGAAAGGCTTTTTTTTATGCCACTCACAGGTACAAAGCTGAGTTCTTTCATAACATCATCAATGATTCCTCGTTGTGTTAGGGCTTTCATTAGATCTTCTTCGGATAACTGGTGATGTTGAGGTGTCAATTCTTCATGTATAGTCTCAGCAAGAACTGCTCGGATCCTGCTATGAACATCCATCTAAAAGGAAACATCTCTGATAACAGTCCCTAAAATATATTCTATTCAATCTTTTAAATAAGCCATTCCAAAACAAGAGCAGGATAATACCCAGATGGATTGTTTCTCAGTGGAAATGTATCTTGTTGAAAACGGTGCATGGATAAACTGTAGATTAACTCCACTTAGCACTGCACTTATGCTACACTGTGAATGTGTTTTACTGATTGCAAATTTATTTGAAATTAATTTCTAATTGCACTGTGAATATACATAGAGGCTCAGATGCAAATATACCAACATACAATTAAGTCCAGATTGGCTATTCCATCAGTAGAAGGGTTTATTCCAGTGCACAAAAGGCATAGGCAGAAGGAGATTATCTTTGGCCATTCATCCTCTCCTGCTGCTCTGTAAGATCTTCCTGACCATCAGAACAACTTTTCAGGAGGCATGAGGGTAATGCTATGCTTGAGCCAGCTCACACCAGTTTGCATGGGCAGATTGTTAAATTTTTTGGAAGCAACTGTAAACCTACCATCCCCAACTCTATCATAACAGAAAATCCATTATTATGATATTCATGATCCAATCAACATCTAAACAATTCTAAAGTTATAGTAACTGTCTCAAAGTATTTTTAGCTACTGACTTCAAATGTAATACAGGTAGTTCTCAACTTACAACCATTTGTTCAGCAACCATTCAAAATTATGACGGTGCTGAAAAAAATGGACCCATGCCCAAAGTTACGGCTGTTGCAGCACCCCCCCCCCCCGTTACATAATCAAAATTTGGGCATGTGGCAGCCTGTCCACACTTACAATCGCAGGGTGTTGCAACTCCCCCCACCTGCCTAACTTCCTCCCATCTTTGCCCTTTTAGCTGCCTTACACCTTGCCTTGTGGGGCAGAAAGCAGCCCCAGAACCTGTGGCTCTGGGACTGCTTGCCACACCGCAGGAAGCCTCAGCTGCCCCAGCCCACCCAAGCAAGTGCCAGCAAGCATTAATTCGCCAGCTGCCTTCTCTCCCCAGCCCCATGTGGCTCCCCAGCCCGCCCCAGCAAGCAAGCCAGCAAGCATTTGTTCGCTCCCCAGCCACCCCAGCAAATGCCAGCAAGCATTCATTTGCTCCTCAGCCTGCCCCAGCAAGGCCAGCATACATTCATTCGCCCAGCTGCCTTCTCTCCCAATTCCTTGCACCAACCTTTCACCTTTTGCACTCAGCCACCATGGCTGAAACAGAAGCACTTCGCTGCCTTTGCTGTCCCCTTTTCTGACTCCTTTTTGCTGCCTGTGCTGTCTGCTTTTCAGATCCAGCTTCTCCAGCGAACACTTCCTACATGTGGCTAAAGCTGTGCTGTCTTCGGAAAGCTGCACTGTCTTCAGAAAGCTTTCTGAAGACAGTGCAGCTTTAGCCACATGTAGAAAATGTTTGCTGGAGAAACTGGGTCCGAAAAGGAGGCAGCAAAGGCAGCAAAGGCAGCAAAAGCAGTGAAAAGGGTCAGAAAAAGAGGCAGCAAAGGCAGCAAAAAGGAGACAGAAAAGGCAGTGATGTGCTTTTGCTTCAGCTGCGGCAGCTGGGTGCAAAAGGTGAAAGATTGGTGTGGGGAACTGGGAGAGAAGGCAGCTAGGCAAACGAATGCTTTCTGGCACTTGCAGGGGTGGCTGAGGCTTCCCAGAGCATGGCAAACAGCCCCAGAGCCATGCGGTCTGGGACTGCTTGCTGCCCACAAGACAAGGTGCAGGGCAGCTAAAAGGGCAGAGATGGGGGATAGATAGGCAGGTGGGGGAGCTGGAGGCAGTTCTGCGCCTTAATGAGGCTTGGGGCTGGGAGGGACCAAGCCTCAAATGGCTTGGATTGGGGTAAGTAATCACTTATCACCTCGTGATTCTCAGTTAATGACTGCAACAGGGAGTGCCATCGTAAGTTCGTGCAGTCACATGACATCTCGTTTTACAACCACACCAACTTATGATGGAAATTCCGGTCCCAATTGTGGTAGTAAGTTGAGGACTACCTGTACTAATGTCCCATACCTCCATTCACAAACTACTCAACAACACTAGAATGTACTTTTATATCCATGCTTCATAAATGTTGGCATTAAACAAATATTGCTATTTTCAGGTGCTTCCAGCTCTTCTTCATAGCTGACTCTTCAAAATGTATACAGGTAAATATTAGGAAGTCAATTTATAATTTATAGCCCACTATACATTTACACTTCCACTGATTAAACACGTATAAACCAGTAAAATAAATACATATTTTTTTTACAGTTGAAAATAAGCTTTTAGCACTAGGTTTACAATTTTATTTCCACTTTATATGTGGCTACAGAATGGGTCCAAACAAGTTTTTGTCCAGCTTATTTATTCTATTACTGTCTTAATATTCTTCCCTTCAATTATGATTACTAGATCAACAATTCCCAACTGCATTCTAAATTTTCTTTAGTACATTTAGAACAGGCATTTTTTCAGAAGTTAAAGACCACGCAGAAGCTTCAGTTGGTTCAAATTGCAACAGCCTATATGTCAGTCAGTGTGTTCACTTTACATGAGTGCTGCAGGCCCTGCACTGGTTGTCAATAGGCTTCTGGGTGTAACTGAAAGTGCTAGTGCTGACCTATAAAGCCCTACAAGGCTTAGCACCATTGCAGGGCCACAAGACTGCATTCTCCCACTGGCCAATTTGATCTAGTCCAGACACGCTTGCTAGTGGGTCTCCAATGTAGGCAAATGAGAGGCGGTAAGGCTCACTGCTTTTCGGCAGCAGCACTGGTCCTTTGGAATGGTCTCCCAGTGGACATCAGATTGGCTCCCGCTTGCTCTCTGGAAGCAGCTCAAAACAGAGCTCTTCAAGAAGGCATCTGGGTTTATAGATTGGCTTTGTTATATGTTTTGCATTCTATGTTATATTTTAATTGCACTGTGAATGTTTTAATTATGTACTTCTATGCATAATTGTATCTTTGTGAACTGCTGACAGTGCTTTGGGATTGTGGTGGTCTATGAATGTGATTAATATATCAGTAATGTGCAGGGCTTTTTGCCTCCTCATTTAATCCTGAAAACAACCTTGCGAGTTAGGGAGACAAAGAGATAGTTAACTGGCCCAAAATAACTCTGTAAATTACATAGATGCGTGGGTTTTAATTTCAATCTTCCCAGTCCTGTGTCACTCTAGCCACAACAATGTATTGTCTCTTAAATGGGTCATTTCACCAGTCCACTTTTTCTTTTCTGTCATCTCTTTCCTTTCCCTTAACAAAACAATGGCCAAGTTCAAGCACTGGGCTATGCCAAAAATTGGCATTGTGTAGTCTCAGAGCAATATGCACCCCAGTCTCCTTTTTATGATCTTTGGAACCATTTCTAATCATAACTGCTGAAAAGTAATCACAAAATTTCCTTCCATTTTTAGATAGGAAAATTGCAAGGTAAACCTTAAAACAGACATCACCATTAAAAACTAATTTCCCCAAGCTTCCCTGCCAAAGCCCAAACTTCCCTGTTCTCCCTCCTCCTCCGCCTCCGTACGTCACCCCCTCCCAAATGTTAACGGTTGCCCAGTCGGTCACAAAGCTGCCCACTCCTTGATCAAAAATAGGCTTACTTCCCATAACACATCAGACCATAAACAATGGTTCATAATCCACAATAGACAACTTTTCACAACATCCTAAGCCACAAGCAAACCTCATTTTGACTTAGCACGTGAAGCAAGCCTGCATGCTGCCTTGATTTTGTGAATCAGAATAATGCTCTGGAGTCAGCTAAACAGTGGAACATTAAAACCTTTAAAGGAACAGGTCATAACTGCCTTCTCTAAAGTTGCAACACTGAGTTCGCATCATCACTGACATTAGCTAGCATTTTTGTCTAGTGTGCTATGTAAACAAATTCCCCGAACTTAATTTATCGTTTTGTGTGCCGTGCGAAACTGGACAAGCGCTGGAGAAAAGTAGGATTAAGCTAAGCAGGGATAAGTGTGTTGTGAGAACACCGGCAGCGAGATCACACACAGACCATGGCTGGGGTGGTTAAAAAGAGAGCTGACTAGCGATAGAAAGACCCTCACCTTCGTCAGCTGCTGGTGAATGATTTGCTTTAGTTCCGAGGCTTTTTCTGGGGGCAAAGCCATGACCCCCAACTAGCAAAGTCGCTTTAATTCCCAGGAAAAGATCCCTTCGCCATCTCTGGGAGCACAACCCCAAGCCACCCGCGCCTCCTGCCCTCCCGCTCACTCGCCCGCTCGCTCCCCGTTTCAGCTCTGCAGAGCACCCATTGGCTCAGTCGCCAGCCAACCAGCGCCTGACGCCCCACCCCCAGTTGGGCAGCGGCCTGTCATCCCAACCGTCTTTCCAAAGAGCGCTGGGTGAGGTCTGTCCTATGTAGTCGCCTGAGAAGAGCCGCCGCCCTTTCTATTGCCACCCTTCCTCCTAACCCGCGTCCAGGAAGCAGCTCGGCCAAAACGATGTTTCGATGTTGTTCTTCTGGCTCCGTTAACCAGCTTTCAGCCGTCAGAGGCTGACGGGCACCTCACGAACACCTATTCCTGCCACGGACAGTGCAGGACCCAGGACATAGAAACTGGCACGCTTCTCTCCCCGTTTTGGATCGCTAGAGGTGGTGTTTCCTGGCTGCTTGTTGTTTTCT